GCTGTGTAGACCTCCCCATGGTCAAAGAACCTTATTACTCAATGTTCATAAAGGACTAGAAAAGAGGATGAACAACACAGGTATCGGTGAAAATGTCAGGGACATCTCCTTCCAGCCTGAAAACTGACGTTATTGCTATACTGTGCTTTAGCTTTTCACTTACTTAAAACTGACAAAAACCGCTACAACTCTACTTCTTAACCCAAGGCTTCCTAGTTTCCTTAACAGTCTTGTAAGATATCTTATCAAATACCACCTGGAAATCAGAGAAGACTATATCACACCTCCCTTACACATGTGCTCATAAACTCCTTCAAGGAGTTCTAAAAAAGCAACTTTACTTTACAAAAGCCATGCTGTCTATCCCCCAGAATAATTTTTCTACATAAATTCCCTAACTCTGTTCTTTCAGTTTTAACTAATCCAACCACTAAAGATATCAGACTTGGTGGTGGTTTCCCTGATCTTTCCTAGAACCCTTTTCAAAAGTTAGGGTCACGCTATCTACTCCAAGCATTTGGGTGCCAAGACAGTTCAAGCAAGCAATTACATAAACCCCTTAATACTTCAGCAATTTCATCTTTATGTTCCTTGGTCAATTCCTAGGTCGATATCTCATAGTTCCTATAATCACAGACAAGTTCTTTGATGAAACCTCTGAAAAGAAGTGTCATGGTGTAGAAGTCACCCTGAGCTCTTCCACACTGAACACAGATGGGAAAAGAATCACCTCATTTTCATTCTTTCTGCAATAAATTGCTTTTTACCTATTTTGTTCTGTTTTCGTATTTCCTCCACCCAAATTTATAGGCCTTTTGAATCTCCCTTGCTGGCAAGTACTTCCCCTTGCTTTTAATAATTGCCCATGACTGTTTAGCCAGGTCTGCATACTTTTACCTCTTCAAGTGTTACTTGAGAAGTTTTTCATTGCATTTGTCCCTGTCAGAAAAAAGTCTACTTTGGCTGCCTCTTCATTTATAATCATCAGATAATGGCTCTATTCAGATTAGATATGCATCACTAGATCATAATAACTGCCCTCATTCCCAGCTAGCACAGATGAAGATTTACATTCAGTGAGGTTTCTTAAGATGCAGTCAGTTGTACTACGCAACACTTCTGCATTTTACATTAACTTGATTAAAATCTTATCTTTTAAGTCTAAATATGAAGTCTACCAGACTAAAAATTTGTGACACCTACGCTTGTGGTTTCAGGTAATTATCTGCTGTTTGGTGTAGCTGGTCAACCACCAGCTGAAGAAAAACATCAGAACGTGCAAACCTTCTAAATATTAACCATTTGACAGCTTTCTGGATCTGATTAGCCACGTATTTTCTCTTTTCCTGAGACTAAGCAGCACAAGGTGCTTTTCAGCTGTCACAAACCCAGAGAAGGAGGGGACACCAGCACAAGCCATGAGACTGCAAAAAGCAAAGGACTCTGACCGCTGCTAACTCAGACCTACCATGCAAACCCAACATTGGCTGGACTACCTAAAATGGCATACCCCCTCAATTGCTCTTTCAATTAGCAGGCAGTTACCTTGATTGCAGGACAGGACAGCGTCCCTGTGTTTGTGAATATTCATCTGTGCCTCTGCCAAATAACGCCATGCTGCTGGACATTGGCTAGTCTTCTGCAAACCTAATAAGAGAAGAGTTAAAAAAAGGCACTAAAAGAAGTTGCTTAGGGCTGCAAAGACACTGTAGCTGGCAGATGCTGTATTGCCATACAATGCCATCAAAAACATATTATGAATCAGATAATAAGACGCAGCTGATTTCTTCTTTGAGTCTTATTTAAACTTTTAGGCATACAGGCGTCCATGCAGTAAGGCAAAAACTAAGAAGCATGTAAGGCTCTGTTAGACTTAATTTTGCATGTAACATTAAAGAAAAAGGGGAAAAAGTGAGGAAATACACAACACTGGCTTAAGGGGCACTTTCGTTTCAAAAAAAAAAAAAAAGTCCTTTACTTTGATCAGACATTAACAGCAGCAGCCTGTAGATAACTTTATAAAATTTTTCCTAGAAGCCAGAAAAGGCCTATAGAACTTCAAGAGAGCAAGAGTGTTTCACTGAAACTTCCTGATAAACTTGCCTTAATTAAAGATTCAGTAATAAAATTGAATTTGAGGGGGGAGAGAGAGAGAGGGAGAGAGAGAGATTACTACTAAATAATGCCTTGAAGCTTCAATGCCTAAAATGCAAACACTTGGCTTACTGGGAAAGACATTATTTCCAAGCTTTATACATTTCTGCTGATACCAAGAGCCTTGCCCTTTGCATTCTCCCCTTCATGGGCAGAGCATTACACATAAAAGTAAAAATAAATAAATAAAACTATTTGGGAGATGTATCTTTTGTCAAAAACAGGATGTATGTTTTGTCAAAACATCCAATGGCCATTTAAGCCAGACAAATTTGCATTCCATGGAAGACTTTTTCCTCTTAAGAACCTGAATTTTTTATTTCAGATTTTAGGCAAGACATGTTATTTCATTGTGGTTAAGCTACTGTAGAATATTGTAAAACATTGCGAAATCCAATTTCAGAAACAGTCTTTTTCTAAACATTCTTTCTGGGTGAAAGGATGCAGGATAGCACAGCATAGCCTGACTGACTTCTGATTGCTTAGATCCCAAATGTTTATTTACCCAGCTTTCTCAATAAGAAGTTTTTAATTATCCATGGCCAGCACAGTGAGAGTGGAGAGTCTTAATTTTCCACTAGTATATTTATGAACAATTTTCGAAGAGCTTTGCCATATCAATACAAGCAAGATAATCACAGATTAGTAAGCCAACTCTTCAGCAATTCTGGCTATTGCAAAAAAAAAAAAATCCTCCGATATTTCTCTTTAGATACCCAGTATAAGTGTTTACCTAATATAAGTGTTAAAGTGGTCTTAAAATGATGTAACTTTAAAGGGAAGTCATTTTTGTTCAGGTATAGAAATGCAGTGACTAGATTAGAGGACCTGCATTATATTTTACTTTATAAATTCCACATTCCTGCATTAATTGCTATTGCTGTATTTACTGCTTCCTCTAGGTATTTCCCCAATAACAGTCAGATTAAATAGAAGTTTAAAGTTGATCACACTAAAATACTACAGAGCTGACTATAACAGCAAGGACAGACTTCAGAGATGTTATACTTAAAGGTATATTTAAAAAAAATTCAATCCCCAGTCAGAGAAAGCGTTGAGCATTCTTTTATAATCTAGCTGGTCTCAGAACTGGCAGAGTACTACACAACTATAACATTCCCAAAATATCCAGCATGAACTAGCTGGTGTTCAAGTTATAGAGCACTTATAGCTCATATTACACATTTACCTTCAGTAAGACTCTTAACAGCCTCCTTGTATTTCTTTTCTTGGAGGCATTTTATACCAAATCCAATGATGCCTGGACCACTACTTGCATCCATCTCCAAAAGCCTAGAAAAACAGTGCAGAGCCTCTTCCGACAAAGTACCTAGTTTCAGAAAAAGAAATATTTTATAGAGTTTTAGATTAAAAAAAAAATATACAACAGCATACCTTATTTACATAAATTTGACCCTTATCCTCAAAGTAATGAATTTATTAACTAAAATTTTTTCCAAAGGTACTACATACTTATCACCCTCCACCCCCAAACCAAACCCAAAAACCAAGTAGGAATCTAAATACCCAGTACCACCAAACAAAATAAACCGTCAGTTTTGAAATCTGAATTTTTAACCACTCATGTTAAATTACTGCAGGTATACTTCCTTTATTAATAAAAACTAATTCCTTCATATGCTTTTCATGTAAGCCCAGCTGAATGCCCACATGTCAAAATCTGCCTCAAATAAACCACAATAATTTCCTTCCAAAGCAGGCATTTGTGTACCTACAAACTTGCTGTGATGAGTTTGCTGAAACAGTCCTGCTGTGAAACCACGTAATTTAATGTCTTGGCTTAATTTTAACTGATGCCACTAACGTTTTACAGCTATGTTTGGCTGTGATTGTAGACTTGGCAGTCCTTGCTTAAAGCAACAGTTATGACTTGCAGCAACAGCCTTTGAACTACTGTTTTCTTTAAAAAATTATGGACTCGTTTGACATAAAGGTTGCCTTTGGTTTGCATTTGGTAAAGGTGACTAATAATGCATCCGAGTTAAAAGCCTGCAAGATTGGGGCGTGAAAGACTATGACATGGATGACTCAGATATAAACAAACAGCCTTACTGAAACCTAAACATCATCCTCCTCACCCCAAGATGGCTGTGGGATGGTGAGAGCACTGGCATATAAGAACTGTGCCAACCAGATGCTCCTTTTCCTTTGGAAATTAGTTTCTGCACGTTTCTCCAAACTGTAAAGCATTCTCATGTGGAAATGAGAGTCTGGGCCTCATTTGTCTCCATCCTTTCAAATCAAAGTGAAAAATTCTCTTTTATTTTATGTTGCTATGGCATTGCACGAAGCCTACCTTCAAAACTGGAAAAGGCATTCTTCTACCTAAGCTGAAAGTTATTTCTCTCTATAAAAACCAGAGGGTTTTTTTTCCTGATCTTCTTTCCTTGTTTTAAAAAGAAATAAAATCAACTTCTGATGCCTTGAACAATAAAATGAAAAACCAAAATTTAGTAGTTATCTTTGAAAATGCTGAGAAAGTGTCCAACACTACTGCAATGTGAACTACTGAAAATAGCAGTTGTATGTTTTCAGATCCCTGCACTATTGAACACACCACATTTGGATTGTTTCCCTCAGAGATTCTCCTTTTCCACTTAGAACAAGTATCTAAACAGATCTGTTTACACAGATCTGTTTACTCCCTATTCACCAGGCATTCTTTTGAATAAAGTTTCACAAATATTTCTCTGTTTTTTTCACCAAGAGAGATTTTCTGTGTCAAGAATAACCTAAGTGTAGCCCATCTCAGCCTTAGACCACTGGTTAACATTCTCCATTCCCTCTTCTAAGCTTAAGAAACTAATCTTCATTTATCTGGAGAGGCTGCTTTCGAGTTTTGTGAGGTATTTGTTCTCTGCGACTTTGTACGTTGCCAGAGTTGGACTTAACTCGCAGAAGCTTTTTGCCAATTTACAGTCACCACTCAGTTACAGAGCTAGGAAATAGCAAAGCATAGGACTAAACACTTTTCATTTCCAGACAGGCAGAACTATAACATAAAAGTAAATAGTGCACTTGTATTGGGTCGTGAAGGGTAAAAACTTGTAAAAAGATTGCCACAAAACTAACTATAAAAGAAATCTTTTAAGCCCCAAAAATGTCTAAACCCATCCTACTCACCTAATTGAATAAAGTGCAAGCAAAGTACTTCTAAAGGATAACTCTCAGTAGGATACAAAGCCATCATATCATTACAGGCCTTCTCCAACCTAGCTGTTTCATGAGGAAACTTGAAAAGAAAAAAATAAGTAGTTATTTGTGTGAATTATCAGAGGTGGAATATTACATCTATTCTCTGATGAAGATAGATTAACATAATCTTACTTTTGACAAGCACTGAATAAAGTCCTTGTAAAGATTTTGGTGGTCTTCACCAGGAACAGTGTCAGCAGAGTTCACGGCATGTTCAAACGCAGTCAAAAGCTGAAATAAGAAATAATTAGGAGTGCAACAAAGACTCTAGGAAAATGTTATCTTCACTGAATAGAATAGTTCAGTTGGAAGAGACCTACAACAATCATCTAGTCCAACTGCCTGACCACTTCAGGGTTGACCAAAAGTTAAAGCATGTTATTAAGGGCATTAACCAAATGCCTCTTAAACGCTGACAGGATTGGGGCATCGACCACCTCTCTAGTAGGCCTGTTCCAGGGTTTGACCACCCTCTCGGTAAAGAAATGCTTCCTCACGTCCAGTCTGAACCTCCCATGACGCAGCTGTGAACCATTCCCATGCTCCTGTCCCTGGATCCCAGGAAGAAGAGCTCAGCACCTCCCTCTCCACATTCCCTCCTCAGGAAGCTGCAGAGACCACTGAGGTCGCTCCTCAGCCTCCTTTTCTCCAAACTAGACAAGCCCAAAGTCCTTAGCTGCTCCTCACAGGACATGCCTTCCAGCCCTTCCATAGCTAAGTGGATAGTTATATGTTATTATCTGGATCCTACTCATTAAGTTCACTAGTACTGTGAACAGAGCAAGGCACACAGCAAGTTCCTTACCACGAAGTAGTACTCAAACAGGATCCAAACCACGTTAATTGTCTAATACAAGAGGAAGTAGCTATGTACTGTTTCATAATGTAGGAAGGTACAAGGTACAAGGAAGGCAAAATTTGTAAGAACAGAGATTCTTCTTCATATCTAATCCCAGTCCAAAGAAGGACTCGGTACCACAAACCTAGGTTACTATCCTTTACGGTTAGCTGTCAGCCTACCCCCTGTTCTAGTCTAGAAATCTAGTCTTTTATTTCTTGACTCCTTATCCATGGGAGAACACAGGCACCACAGAGTGCAGGCTACCAAAAAAGCATGCTAAACAAAACACTGCCCATAGTTCATCACAAGTGAAATACTGAACAGGATGCTGCCTTCAATGCCACAGCCTTCCAGGTTCAGATGCTTTACTCAGAAACGCAGCAAAGTGAACTGTAGATCTGCATGTGAAACCCATTCCTGATATTTATGCAATGTTTGTCTTTTTTAAACTCCTTGTCCCCAAAAAAGAAAGCACGGCTGCCTGCAGCACCTCTTTTCTATCATAGCTCATAAGTTAGAGCATTTGCCTTCTCAAGAAGTAGAGATCCAGATTCAATTTTCTCCTGTCTCAAATTATTTCAATTTGTATTTTCCACCTTTCTGGAGCACTGCTATCAAGCAGACTGATGATGGGAAATTTCCACCCTTCCTATTGAATGAGGTTATTCTTGCAAGAACAGATAAATCAGACAAAACAAAATTAACTTTGGCCATAGAGAACACAGGATCAGTATAATTCATGATCATTCTGTTTGCTCCAATTAGCTTTGACATTCTCCTAAGAAGGGAGAGCTTAAAATCTACGGGAGAAAGGGAAATTTGAAGCCAAACATTGCTATCTAAGATAAGCACTATGTAGAAAGAAAAGGAGAAACAGCGCAAAGCTACCTTTCACCCTGGGGAGAAAGCGGGAGGGAGTTTCTTGTTTTGAAGAACACCTACATTCTAGACTCTGTCAAAGCTTATGAACGATGCTTATGAATGATGCTTCTCATAACATGCAGAGGTAGAACAATGCATCACCATGCTACAGTGCAAACTTGGACTCCTGCAGAACTTAGGAGGCAGTTAATGAAAGAGTTCCAGGACGACTTCTTGGATTTAGGTGCCTTATTCCACCTAAGGCCCATCTCAGGCTGCTGCACCCTCAGTTTCTGTCAGAAGGTAAAATCACCCACCTTTTCCTGAGAATTTTAGTACTACTGCACATTAATGAAACAAGCAGTCACAAGATTTGTATGGTTTTTAAGGCTTCATTTGAAGTCTAGCTGCACTGTGCATATATATGTATCTAGATGAGTAGGAGTGAGAAACATTACCGACTGCTCAGTCTTATTATCCTGGTTTTGTGTACTGTCTTTCAGTAACTGGATCATCTTCTTCCAAAGTTGATGCAGCTCTGCCTTTTCTGCACCTTCCTCTTGTTTCCTTTGTATTAGTTTCTGCCATGTTTCAGCCACCTGTCAAGAGGAAACAAATGAGCCATGCTGTCACTCCTTAAAGAACTGGAGGTCTGACACAAGCTTTCCAACTACAGCCAACTCTACCACACTAGGGTAGACAACAGAGTAACGTTTGAAGTAACAACCCAGATTTACCTGCTTTCTGATTAAAGCAATAACAAGTCCCAAAGCATTGTGTGGGACCTCCCCACCTTCCAAGGTACAGTAAATAAGAGAGGTAACATCAAGAGTATGAATTCTGACTCTGGCTCCTGGAGGAAATCAACAGTAAAAATAGACCTAAACAGTCCTCCAATAAACTTTGAAGAAAAAATGGAAGCCTTGTTGGATCTACAGCACTATGAACAGAAACAGAAGAACAGCAGCAGTACCTGTTGAAATTCCAGTGTGGAAAAATCAACAGAAATGGAAAAGAGAAAATAGGACCCTGAAGCCTAATTTGTGGTTTCCTATTGCACATAGAGCAAGTCTGCCTTCATATGCTAAACTATTAACATTCAATTTAGTTTCAGAAACTGGTATACAAAGAGGCTTTGGAAGTAATTAATAGTCTTGAGCCTGATGCTAAGTGATATGTAAAATTTTTCATCTTCCATTGTTGGAGAAAAGGGGAGAAGGTGACATGGAGTAAGACCATGCACCACCTTATAAGAAAGCAACCTTTTTCAAAGAGAACAGCATAACAGCAGAAATATGTATCCTGTAACATTACTAGAGAGACTATAGGCAATGTTACTGTTGAACCATTCAGGCATTTAACAGCTCCACCTCGTGGTGAGCTGACCAGAGCCATGACTATTTCTGCAAGGGTCATGCTGACACAGACTTTGGGAGGGCTGAAGCCTGGGCTGCCCTGGACCACTTTGCATGTCCTTATCGTTGCGTATGCGATGCAATATGTAAGCCACAGGCTATCATGTTCAGGCTGCATACAAATTCCACCTTACCCTCTGGCACGAAATATCAGGGACAGTCCAGGATCACCACACCAGTGAAGGGCTAACCAGATACCTCTATCTGGCCAAGCTAGGCAAAGGACACCCAACTCGCACATACTGCATATAAATGTGCATTTGGGATCATGCTTGACTCCTACAAATAAAGCAGAAGAGGGGGAAGTTGCACCCTTTCAGCCTGTAATATCCTAACAACCTTTGTCAAGTTTTGTCAGTTTAACGGATGGCATCCAAGTCTTACGCAGTGGAAAAGACAGGAATATAGTTAAAATCAGTTCCTCCTGGTACTGGTCCACAAGAAGAATTTAAGTGGTCTGTGGCCCAAAAAATTGGGGATTCCTTGATGAAAAGTAGCTAGTTCTAACAAGAAATTCCCATTTGATCAGAAGACGGAAAGTAAAGTAGTCAACCCACCTCTAAATATTTCTTTTCTTGATGATATAGTTCCACAAGCTTGTTACATACATCACACCATTTCTGCTTGTCACCACTACAAAGGAGGAAGAAAATCCCACACAAACAAGCTAAGTTTTCCATAAAACAGTGTAACATTTTTCTAATTCTGACAAATAATTTTTTAGTAGGTTCAGCTGCCAAACAAATATTTAGAATAAATACTACAGATTGTCCTAAAAGTTTTACTCATTGCCACTGTAACTGAGTTTAAAAAAATGACTTTAAGGGATTGTGCTTTTCTTTTTGAACAATTTTCAAATTAAGGAAACAAATCAAACACTCCAGTCAGCTACAGTGACAGCTGAGAGTTAGATTTGTTTAGAACTGTACCTATATGAATCAGATGACATATATTCTGTGATCTTAAAAGCAGAGAAAAATAAGCCTACTTATTAATGCAGACAATGAACTATCAGAGCCAAATGCTTCAAGGCAGTGAGTTTAGACAGAGGACACAGGGCAACATTAGAATTCTCTAATCTACTAACCTCAAGTACAATTACTCCAAGAGTTTTTGCCCTGTCAAAAGGAACAGGATCAAGAATCCTTATACAGGTACAGAAAACCTTAGTAACAAGTGCTTACCCGCACTGATGTGACAAGGGTTTAAAAAAAATAAACTTGCAGACTATCCTATGTATGAGCAATGGCATTCACTGAACCAGAAACGTTAGACTGAATTATGGTATTCAATATTCTTTACCTTTCATAGAGTTCCAAGAGCTTTTGGTACACATCTGCTAAGTCTCCTTTGACATCTATTTGGTTGGATTTCTCATATAAATTTGCTAATCCCTTTAAAAAAAAAAAAAGATAAAAAATAAGTAACATTTGATGTCAACAGTTATGTTAGGAGAACACTGCGAGTACCGCCTACAAAAATTATTTCATTGCCTTCAGGGGGGTCAAGTGTTTAGTAATGTATTAATCTCTGAGCAGAATCTATGTTGGTACTTCTCTACAGCCTTATGAATCTATTTATTCTAACTTAAAAGCTTTCCTCACTTTCTTAATGTGCTGGTTTTGGCTGGGTAGAGTTAATTTTCTTCATAGTATGGGGCTCTGTTTTGGATTTGTGCTGGAAACAGTGTTGATAACCCAGGGATGTTTT